TGGAGTTGTATTACATGGTGCATTGGGGTAGACACAGCTTAAATTGGATATCCTGTGAGTGATCAACCCACTTACAGAAATATTTTTCTATATTAAATGTATCTTTCCCAGAAAAGTCAACTTTTGCTTGGATTGGTGCACTATTGCCCACAGCAGCAAACAGATCAGTGTATTTTATTCTCAACCATACTATAACGCATCCTGCTTAGGAACAACAAAATGAGACCCACTTATTTTTGATGAACCCCATTTTCACCACCACAATGGTTGGGAAGTTGGCAAGGCTTGCCTGCTCCTGAGGTAGCAGGGGCTGCAGGTACTTAGGTCTCTACAATTAATTTTTTTAGGTCTCTGCAATTAAAACACAACCACACTTTCTTATGACAACCATTTGAACACAATGACATGTCACTTAATACATGCTTGACCTTTTGGCCAAAGAGCAAATGTTGAAAGCACACTGAGATTTATATCCCCTTGGAACATTTGAATGAAAGTCGGCACAAGGATCTTCTGGTTAACAGTGACACATAAAAGCAAGCAGCAGAAGGAGGAGGAGCTTTCATTTCTCAAGTCTCATTTGTGTATGTCCTTCCCATCCTAGGCCCTTGATGGAAGCTCCACCCATCACAAAACAGCCTTCCCTTGGGCACTGGGCCCACCGACCACACTGGACAATTCGCTATTGGCCTGACTCTAAGGGTAGCTCTTATTGGAATGAGATAAGTTGGCATTGCTTCACTACTTTTCTGAGAATTTAGAAGATCCATGGTTAATAATGTGGAGGGTGTTTTCCAGTCTTTTTGGTTTGCCTGCTGCATCTTGATAAAGCCAATATAGACTTGAATTTCCTAAGTTATAAGGGAGCCAAATAACACTTTACCATTTTGTTGTTTCTCAGTAAGGTTTTCTTCAACCCTAAGGAAGGCTGCTGTTTGTGTTAAAGTCGTTTTTAATACTTAACACACACGTACACAAAATGCCCTCTCTCTCCTTGCTAGAGATACTAATTTCAAGCAGCATAATATCCCAAATGACTGAATGCAGACATCATAAATGGGCTAAAGACATAAAATGGCACTTCACAAAGAAGGAATGCACATGCCCAATGAACACCTGAAAAAAAACTTAGTCCTACTAATAAGGATGAAAATGCAAAGAGAGTGATGACTTGTTTTTTTCTCCTATCAAACTGTCAAACAATTTGTTTCAATGATGGTACTAAATGTTGGCAAAAGCTAGATGAGCCAGACAGTCTTGTGCACTACTGGAGAGAATGAAATAAGAGAACATTTCTGAGGAGCACACTGACCACCTATATCAGGGCCTTCTAGAAGGCAAAGGAGCTTTTGTCTCCATATTTCACTGCTAGAAGCCTGTGACAAAGAATGCTAGCTGGCCCCAAATATCCAGTCTCCTTTTCTTCTCTCAGAAAAAAAAAATTAGCTAGGTTCATAGAATTAAAACTAGATTTCCCAGCTTCAACAACGTTAGTAGAGAAAAACAAATAGGATATAAAACCTTAAATACAGTTAGTTTGTTTTGAAAAAAAGTTCTACATATTTAGCCATACGAAAAGAATAAACAAATATAAGGCAAGAGTTTAGCAACAAGTACTTCTAAGAGGTCAGATTATGAGTAACATTTCTTTCTTTTTTTTTTTATATCGTCTATACTTTCCCCCCAAATGCCAATGTTAAAACCAGAAAAAAAATACCACTGAAAGACAGAGGCTGATATGATTCACAAATGTTATACAAGTGTCAATACAGCAAGAATCCCTGTCATATTACATGATAATCATAGACATGGCAGCATGACAAATAGTGCAGGACAAAGTAATGCACGCTAAACATTTTGCTCTTTAAACATTTATTTTAAAAATTATTGTTTCAAAAGGAAATAGTGATTTCTTAATCACTGTTGTCTTAAAATTTCCATTCTAGATAGATAGAGAGATACTTTGGATAAAGGTATGTCGGGGGTGTTTCACAGTGCTTAGGGTCCACTCTAGGAGGTCACGTTTATTTTTTTTTAAAGATTTTATTTATTTATTCATGAGAGACACACACAGAGAGGCAGAGACACAGGCAGAGGGAGAAGCAGGCTCCCTGCAGGGAGCTTGATGTGGGACTTGACCCCAGGACTCTGGGATCATGCCTTGAGCTAAAGGCAGACAGTCAGCCACTGAGCCACCCAGGCATCCCCTAGGAGGTCATGTTTAAATTTTTTTAAAATTTTTATTTATTTATGATAGTCACACACACAGAGAGAGAGAGAGGCAGAAACACAGGCAGAGGGAGAAGCAGGCTCCATGCACCAGGAGCCCAATGTGGGACTCAATCCCGGGTCTCCAGGATCGGGCCCCGGGCCAAAGGCAGGCGCCAAACCGCTGCGCCATCCAGGGATCCCTAGGAGGTCATGTTTAAAGAAAAAGATGAGTGCCTGGGTGGCTCAGTCAGTTAAGCATTTGACTTCAGCTCAGGTCATGATCTCAGGATCTTGGGATTGAGCCCTGTATTGGGCTCTATGCTTATCCCTCTCCCTCAGCATCTCCCCTGCTCATTCTTTCTCTCTCTCAAATAAATAAAATCTTTAAATTAAAAAAAATAAAGAAGCACCATCCAACAACCAACAGCAATGGAAAGGGAAGTCTAGTCTTACCAGGTGCACCTCAAAGCACATCAAAAGGGTTAAAGGTCATAACTTAGCTGACTCCCTTCTTCTGCTTCCTAATTCTGTTGAGGAAACTCTCATACACCAAACCCTTTCTCTCTTAGCACCAACTTAAGCACCATTTTTTCCCTCTGGTCAGAATTTTTTCTTTATGTGGCTTAATCTAATCTCCTTTCTGCCCAACATGGACTTCTCCTCCTTCGTGATTAGAAGGTAGAGCAGGCGGTGGGGAGAAAGGGACCTGGCTAACAAAGGATTTTCTGTAGCAAATGGGGAAGGGAGGAATACACATATGGCTAATAAGATTTATCCCAGCAAGTAAGGAGCAACACTACCCCAAAACAAGTGACTGGATCCCTTTGATGGGTTACAGATTAATTATATGGAGAGTATAATTATATGGAGAGTATTAGTCTATCACTCTTTCTGACTTCATCAATACAAGCTGTGAATTTGGTCAATACAAGTGCTTCCATTTTTGAAAAATGTCTCATGACAATATAGGAAACCTATTCTTGAAACTTATTGTGGAATAACAAAATTCTAACAACACCCACACACAAATCACAGTTTCTATTGAAGAAAGGTAGAGCTAATGGAATTACTGGACTGTCACCACATCATAAAATAGTAACTTAGAATTCCAAAAATCACTTTTTTTGAAGCTAAGAAGAGACCTACACTATTAACCTAAAGTTATTAATAGTTTTTCTTTGTTAAACAGTACCAAGAATTATAACTCATGTAAAAAAATCTCATTTCACTGACATTAATGGCATTCTCAGGGTTGTGAAAAGCATTGCATATTCCTTTGAAAATGAGAGTAAAACTCTTTGCATCAAATTTTTGATATTCTTAAAACTTTTAGAAGCATCTTATAATTCATTTTGTCTGATTGCATATATATTAATTATAAGTCGGTAAAAAAATCACACTTTTTTACCACACAAAAAATAACAATACTAAGTGGGAAGAATAAGATCTTAAAGAGCAGCTAGGTCTCCTTATCCTGCCCCTGTGTTGCCACTGCAAGCCAAAATTTGACATTTCACTTAACAATGACAAACTGTTTTTAATAAAATGGGCACTACTGCCTCCGAGTGGTGGGTCATTCTCAGAATTTAAATTCCATTAATTTCAAATCCTCTCAGCCTAACAGGAGAGAATTTTGAGCCTGACGAGGTATATATCGTTTCAAGTTTAAATTCTGAACATGATATTGTAGTTTAAGGGCATGAAGAGTATATTTTATTTAGAAAAGTGTATGAACAACTCATTAATGTGTGAGGTTGGCTGGCTTTGTCCATAAAATCTGTGTTCCACAGAGAGCAGAGGGGTCTCATTTCTCACTGCTTTCCAGGTGATGCTGCTTGACATTCATGTTTTGTTGGTGGCACTTTCACCTCCAATCATCAGAAACACTGAGCCACCAGGTGTATAGAACTCATCACTCATGAAATGCTCTGTGGAGAGAAAAGCATTATTTTAAATTATTAATTCATCAGACTGGGATTTTTCTTTTTTTTTTTTTCTTTTTCTTTTTCTTTTCTTTTCTTTTTTTTTTTAGACTGGGATTTTTCTATTTGCTATTTCTAATGGTAGAATGGTAGTGAAGTTTAGTTTGTCAAAAATAATAAAGATTTTGGATGATGGTTCTGAGGAATGGTCTGAGCAAGTGATATGGGCAGGTAGCTATTCGCACAAATTGCACAAACTTGTTAAAAATTAGCAACTAACAATATAGTTTGCCCAAATCAAACGTGATATAATTAGTACATTAGATTTTGAATGATATAGTAGATAAAAGGTACCTCTATCTTTTCGTTCACTCTGAAACGAACCAAACACATGAAGAAAAATAAACAATAATGGCAACTCAGTCTTTGAGGAGAATGGAAAACACTAAATAACCAAATCATGGAGAGAGCTGGGAACTTTGGGAAGAGCTGGCAAAGCACAGACTTCTTCAAAGCAATGAAGCATCCATGAAGCCAATGACTTATAGTATGAAACAAAAAGATCTATGTGCTTGGGCTGGGCTAGGGGATACAGAACCCCCCTTGAATCTCACTTGACTCCATGGAGTGGCAGGGAACAGGTAAGAATGTCATAAATAAATGAAACAGCCAACCCAGTTATTTAGACAAACAAAATGAATCCAAAAAAAGCACACAAAAAAATAAAGACTGAAAAATGATAGAACTAAATGGATGAATTCAACAGTTCTCCCTTCCTTCCTTTCTTTCTTTTTGTCTTTCTTTTATCCCTTCTCACCCCATATATATTTCCTTCATACCAGTCTACTCCTTCAGTGTCAATGGGGAGGGGAAGATCACAACTCCCAGGCATCCCACAAAGTAGGCAGGTCACCTTAGACTCAACCTTTACCCACTCAAAAATTCATCTCACATTAGCAGTGAGGATTTGGACATCACTCTGAATTGTCATTTTCCTTACTCATAAGTCTAAGATTAGCATCCAACAGTTGTTTCTTTTTTTTTTATAAAGTATATTTTAAAGATTTTATTTATTTATTCATGAGAGACACAGACAGAGAGGGAGAGGCAGAGACACAGGCAGAGGGAGAAGCAGGCTCCATGCAGGGAGCCCAACACGGGACTCGATCCTGCGTGTCTAGGATCACACCCTGGGCCAAAGGTGGTGCTAAACCGCTGAGCCACCCAGGCTGCCCCAAACAATTGTTTCTTTAAATACAAAATGAGTTCTAGCAATTTTGGGCTGGAGTCTTTTGAGTTTTCTATATACAGTGTTACGTCATCTACAAAGAAAGAGAGTTTGACTTCTTTGCAATTTGAATGCCTTTTATTTCTTTTTGTTGTCTGATTGCTGAGGCTAGGACTTCTAGTACTATGTTGGACAACAGTGGTGAGATTGGGCTTCCTTGTTGTGTTCCTGACCTTAGGGAGAAAACTCTCAGATTTTCCCCACTGAGAATGATATTCACTGTGGGTTTATCATAGATGGCTTTATGATATTGAGATATGTTCCCTCTATCCCTACACTGTGAAGAGTTTTAATCAGGAATGGGCGCTGTATTTTATCAAATGCTTTCTCTGCATCTATTGAGAAGAGGATCATACAGTTCTTGGCCAACAAGCACATGAAAAAATGCTTAACATCACTTGCCATCAGGGAAATACAAATCAAAACCACAATGGGATACACTTTACACTGGTGTGAATGGTTAAAATTAACAAGACAGGAAATAACAAATGTTGGCAAGGATGTAGAGAAAGGGGAACCCTCTTGCACTGTTGGTGGGAATGCCAGCTGCTGCAGTCACTTTGGAAAACAGTGTGGGGATTCCTTAAGAAGTTAAAAATGGAGCTATCCTATGATCCAGCAATTGTACTACTGGGTGTTTACCCCAAAGTTACGGATGTACTGAAATTAAGGAACACCTGCACCCCAATGTTCATAGCAGCAATGTTCATAGTAGCCAAACTGTGGAAGGAGCCACAATGATGTCCTTTGATAGTTGAATGAATAAAGAAGATGTGGGATACATATATATGTGTGTGTGTGTGTGTGTGTGTGTGTGTGTGTGTGTCTATGAATATACACACACTTACACAATGGAATATTATTCAGCCATCAGAAAGGATGAATACCTACAATTTACATTGATATGGATGGAACTGGAGGGTATTATGCTGAGTGAAGTAAGTCAATTGGAGAAAGACAATTATCAGATAGTTTCACTCATATGTGGAATATAAGAAATAGTGGAAGGGACCATTAGAGAAGGGGGAAAACTGAGTGGTGAAAAATTAGAGAGGAAGTGGACCCTTAACTTTATGGTCAACTAATATTTGACAAGGGAGGAAAGACTCTCCACTGGAAAAAAGACAGTCCCTTCAATAAATGGTGCTGGGAAAATTGGACATCCACATGCAGAAGAATGAAACTAGACCACTCGTCTTGCACCATACACAAAGATAAACTCAAAATGGATGAAAGACCTTAATGTGAGACAAGATTCCATCAAAATCCTAGAGGAGAACACAGGCAACACCCTTTTTGAACTTGGCCACAGTAACTTCTTGCAACATTCATCCATGAAGACGAGAGAAACAAAAGCAAAAATGAACTATTGGGACTTCATCAAGATAAGAAGCTTTTGCACAGCAAAGGATACAGTCAACAAAACTAAAAGACAACCTACAGAATGGGAGAAGATATTTGCAAATGACCTACCAGATAAAGGGCTAGTTTCCAAGATCTATAAAGAACTTATCAAACTCAACAGCAAAGAAACAAACAATCCAATCATGAAATGGGCAAAAGACATGAACAGAAATCTCATAGAGGAAGACATAGACATGGCCAACAAGCACATGAGAAAATGCTCTGCATCACTTGCCATCAGGGAAATACAAATCAAAACCACAATGAGATACCACCTCACACCAGTGAGAATGGGGAAAATTAATAAGGCAGGAAACAACAAATGTTGGAGAGGATGTGGAGAAAGGGAACCCTCCTGCACTGTTGGTGGGAATGTGAACTGGTGCAGCCACTCTGGAAAACTGTGTGGAGGTTCCTCAAAGAGTTAAAAATAGACCTGTCCTAAGACCCAGCAATTGCACTGCTGGGGATTTACCCCAAAAATACAGATGCAATGAAACTCCAGGACACCTGCACCCCGATGTTTATAGCAGCAGTGTCCACAATAGCCAAACTGTGGAAGGAGCCTCGGTGTCCATCGAAAGATGAATGGATAAAGCAGATGTGGTTTATGTATACAATGGAATATTCCTCAGCCATTAGAAATGACAAATACCCACCATTTGCTTTGACGTGGATGGAACTGGAGGGTATTATGCTGAGTGAAATAAGTCAATCGGAGAAGGACAAACATTATATGGTCTCATTCATTTTGGGAATATGAAAAATAGTGAAAGGGAATAAAGGGGAAAGGAGAAAAAATGAGTGGGAAATATCAGAAAGGGAGAAGAACATGAAAGACTCCTAACTCTGGGAAACGAACTAGGGTGGTGGAAGAGGAGGTGGGTGGGGGGTGGGGGTGACTGGGTGATGGGCACTGAGGTGGACACTTGATGGGATGAGTATTGGGTGTTATTCTATATGTTGGCAAATTGAACACCAATAAAAAAATAAATTTATAAAAAAATAAAAATAAAAAAAGAAAAGAAAAATTAGAGAGGAAGACAAACCATGAGAGACTCTTAACTCTGGGAAACAAACCAAGGGTTGCAGAAGGGGAGTTTGGTCGGGGGACGGGGTGACTAGGTGATGGGCACTAAGGAGGGCACTTGGTGGGATGAGCACTGGGTGTTATACTATATGATGGCAAGTTGAATTTAAATAAAATTCTTAAAAATACAGAATGAAATCTTAAAAACCTAAGAAAACTATCATCTAACCTGGACATTCTCAACATGGGTGATTTTACCCACTACTTTCCCCAGGTGACATTTGGCGATGTCTGAAGATATTTTTGGTTGTCACAATTGGTGCTACTGGTATCTGGTGGGTAGAAAGAAGAATGCAGCCAGATATGCCAATACAGACCCCACAACCAATGATGTTTTGACCCAAAACATCAGTAGTACCAAGGTTGATAAACTCTGGTCTGAGCTGATCAAGAGAAAGGTTGGGAATTGCATATAAATAAGAATTAAGATGGAGAAGTGATCTGACTCAAAGGTATTAGAAAAATTATAGAACACTTGACTCAAATCTGAGCCAATCACTTTGAGAATCTGTAGGTACTTAATGATTTTCTCAGAAAATGTGAGTTACCAAAAGAAACTGTAGAAAACAGAACTTCTAAACTAATTATCATGGAAGAAACAGAGAAAGTTGCAAGAAAAGACAAAACAGTGAGAGACTGAAAGAGAATTCTATCAACATTTTAAGGAGCATTGTTCCAATGTAATTTGGACTGTTCCAGAGTATATAGTAAAGAGAAAATCCTCCTTTAAAAAAAAAAAAATCAGAGTTAACATGTTAATACCAGACCTGACAAAGAAAACCCATGGAAAAGAAAATTATAGGGGAATCTCTATTATAATTATCAGTATATTAAAAGAAAATATTAGCTAGAAGATTCTATTAGTACTTTAAAGCAATAACACATGATTCCAAGTGGGATTCATATTAGTGATGAAAGTTTCAATATTAGGGAATCTAATACAATTTATCATTTTAAAATATGATTTATTTTAATAAATCACAGAAAAATAATATGATCATCTTAATGATTTCTGAAAGGGAATTGTTAAAATTCAACATCTGAAAAAAATTTCATGTCTGTCCTTTTAAAAAAAAATATATAGATGTTTTCAAATCATGGTTTTATGTACCATAAAACTTTCTATGAGATACACATGCATATATTTATATATAGTTATGTTTAGTCAATTATAAATATAAGTATTATTAAATATATGTTTTTCCCTAAGGTGAACATGAAGAAAAGAAAACCTCTTTTCCAAAATTTGCCATTCCAAATATCTCATAGTCCAGGATACAGAAATTATTTCAGAAGTGCACACATAACTCAAACAGAACCAAGTAAGTGCTCACCTAGAATTTAGGTTATACTTGGAAAGAGGCTTTTTTGCTGGGTGGAATATCATTAGTATAACTCTAGATTTGTGACTGCAGAGCCTGATTGAACCTTTAGAGGTGTGCAGAATCCAATGGGATGTATTCACAAAATTATTAGAGTTTTGGTCCTGCAAAATAAGAAGACTATGCAAGAGGCGCCTGGGTGGCTCAGTTGGTTAAGAGTTTGACTCTTGATTTCAGCTCAGATCATGATCTCAGGGTTGTGAGATTGAGCCCGGCCCTGGGGGTGAAGCCTGCTTAAAATTCTCCCACTCTGTCTCCCCTCTCCCCTTCCCCTCCACTTCGTCTCTTAAAAAAAAAAAGGGTGGGGGAAGCCTGGGTGGCTCAGCAGTTAAGCGCCTGCCTTTGGCCCAGGATGTGATCCTGGAGTCCTGGGATCGAGTCCCACATCAGGCTCCCTGCAGGGAGCCTGCTTCTCCCTCTGCCTGTGTCTCTGCCTCTCTCTCTCTCTCTCTCTCTCTCTCTCTCTCTCTCCTCTCTCTCTGTGTGTCTCTCATAATAAATAAATAAAATCTTAAAAAAAAAAGGAATAGGATCAAAATTAATAGTTCACTGAATTCAATCAAATGTTGAAAGCATCGGGGCAGGGGCTTATATCTCTAATCTGATGTCAAAATTAAATAGTGTGTAGTTTGAAAAGGGCTACAAGGCTATCCTGTTTGACACGCATGGACTTGAAGTCTCTTTGTTTAATGGCTATTAAAAGGGTCCTGTCTGTCTGTCTGTCTGGATGGTGAGAAACTGACCCTTTCAGGAGGCTACTCCAGATCTTATGTCCTGACCAAGACTTCAGATTGTATGCCATCTTATTAAATATGGAAAGAAAAACAATCTACACATTGGATATTTTAAGCAT